CATCGAGAGGTCCCCACCAATCCCAATTTCGCTGTCCCTCTACAACTCGTATCGATATACAGCTCGTTCCCTCGATTCACCGAAATATTGAGGAAATTGTGTTGCCTTTTATACTACGAGATGGATGCTTTTTTGTTAAAGCACGACGCAAAATATTCGCGAATTTCGTATTCAATTCTGTTTTAAAATGCGGGTTTACATTGCCATCGACTACATCACGTTCAGAAGCATAAATATTGATCTTCATCTAACAATACGCGTTTTTTAAACACTTTTTTACTCGGACTAAAAAGATTTTTAATTTGAGAAATAATATTGGAAATACCATGTATATACGTCATATTAAAACAGAATTATTCATAATATACCACTCAAAATAGCTTGTTTTGTATAATTTTCAGCTGAATGTGCATGAATTTTTGGTTGATTAATTTTAACTAAACAATTGTTAAAATGCGAATATAAAATTAATATTAAATATATTACAATAAATTACTTTTAAAATATAACAATATTAATTACTTCAATTGTTCATTTATGTATTATCAGCAAATAAATATCAATAATAAAATTGTAATTTTCCGTGATTCCATTCCGTTGTAAGAATAATAAAAGAAAATAGCAAAAATTACTATTAATCATAAATTATGCAACATACTATTAGAAGCAACAGCATTAATTACTTTTATGAACTTAAGCAGCAACGATAAAAATATATTTTCATCAATATAAAATCGGCAGACATTTAGTTGTGATCGCATATGATATCCTCTATTTAACAGCCAAATTTTCACCTAAAAGAAATTCAATTTTATAAATAATATCATGCTTGCTAATGTGGTAATATCAACAGGGATCGAATAATGCCATTGCAAATTCATTTAAAAAAATATAAAAAACTTCGTAAATCCACCTTTTGTTACTTGAAAAGCCATTCTTTCCTCTACATTAGTTTCTTATTTTTTAATAAACGTTCCTTGCGTAACATTACTCAATATCTAGTGAATGCGACCGATCAGCAAATTGTTTTGGTTTTATATAGAGTTTCTGCGCGATAATCTCGTGTAGTTTATTCTCTTCTAGTCGTATAACCGCAGTCGCAGATAATGTCGCGGGCATATCTAAGAAGGCGGAGTTGTCGAGGCTGAACGCCCATTACACGACTTGAATCTCACGAGGCGTAACGAAAACCGATCTCTCGGCGCAACGTCGATCTCGATAAAGGTTATTCAGTATCGAAGGTGCTAATAGTCGGCTACGCGATTATTCGAACCTTTCCGCTCGCATAGACGTATCGTAATAATAAATATAAAAGTATCACGAGCGGACCGGTCGAGTTACGTTTATTTCAGTCGATCACCGATCGCGAACACCATCACAATTAAGATCTATACGTCTGTGATAATAGTTCCGACGTTCAAAATACGTTTCACCTTGGCCGAACCGCGTGTGGTGCGAAAGTATTTTCGATAATTGTGCAACAAACCGGCCAAGTAAAACGCATTAAACGAGCCTATATAATACATTTAGTTGAGACATATTCATCATACGTTGCATGGACATAACAAGGGTCTCTAATGCGCTCGCGCTCGAGACAATGCGATGATAATTTATTCTGTGGATGTTATTTTTTTACACGCGACTTACAGTATAATCCATCATGCTTCGTCAAATTGGTACAAGCACCTTGCGCCGCGGCGGTAACGTATATGCTGCCTGCTTTCATCTATTCCTCTTTTCTTTTCATTTCAAACTACCTATCTCGCGTGCGGATATCACGATTGGCACGAAATTCTTCTGTGAATACATAATGATTTTTCATGCAAATACCAATGCAGCTTGCGTTCTAAGCGTCACAAAATTTTTAAAAATAAATTTTACGATAACAATTACTTTATAGAAAGAATAGACAAAGATCAATACTTTTCGCAAGTTTTTGTGTAAGAGTTAATAATAAATATTCTTAGCTTTAAATATTATAAGCACTAACTAAAATTCATATTGAAACAATATTGCTTAACAAAAACAAGAAATACGCTCTCAAGATATACAATCAAATTTAAAATATAAAACAAATAAGAGAAAAACGCCAATGTTGAAGTAAGATATATAAAAACAAAAAAAGTAACTTTACAATACAAACACAGATTACAGACATTTCAATCTTATTAAAAAAAGTATCTCTGAAATGTTTTACATTAAAAAACAAAATAATCGCATTAACCTACAAGAGAACACATTAAACTTTGTAATGATTATTCACCGATTGTCGGGAGACTTCCACATAACTGAGAGGGTTTAAACCTTAAATAAATAAAAATAAACAGAAGATGTCAAGTATGTAGAAATCTCTCCACAATCGGTGAATAATAATCATTACAAAGATCTAATGTGGTCTCTTGTAGGTTAATGCCATTATTTTGTTTTTTAATATAAAACATTTCAAAGGTTACTCCTTTTAATGTAGGATTTCTCAATATCTTTTATTATTATTCCAGTAAAATATACTTTTGCCCATTTTAATCTATGTTTAGAAACTAATACAGAGTAATCTTAGTGTTGATTGAGGGGAGTGAGACTTTCTTATTTATTAGAAATTTGCCATGGAAAAATTAAAGCCGCACAGCGACTGAAAGTTAAGATAAATTTACATTAATATATTAATATACAAATAATATTAAACAAGTTAAAATCAAATTAAACAAATTATCAGGAGAGAAGCAATATCATATTAATTATGTTTATATATATTTTCTTATATAAATGTAGAATATATACGTGTTAAAACAAATATATTAATATGTAATAACGGTTACATATATCCTAATTGCAATATGAAGATTAGCTGTAAATAACTTTTCCCACAAATGTTTGATTTCACACAAGTGTATGAGTTTTACGACCTGCATCGCGATTCGCGTCAACTATTTCAAATTTACAATTAATTTCTAATAGTCATCAATTCGCCATTTCTATTTTAGCGCACGCATTACGCAGCTCTCTTGCTTTATATTACGTCGGATCACCATTTTCTCCCATCAAGCCCTACAGAATAAGGATGATGGAAGAATTTCTTATGTATTAGTCTAGTAACTCATTAATCATATACGCCATGCGCCGAATATCTCGATTGATCGACGACGAGATAACCGCGTAATGAGCTCTGCTGCTCTTCTTGGTCCATTCTCTGCTCAAAAAGTTATTACCGCACTGTCCGATTAATTCATTTCGTCATCGTAAACGAAGGAATACTTCAAATCATAGCGCTCTATTGCGCTGGTATTAGTTTTTCAATATTATTTTTGAGATGCGGACAAATTACATATCGTACTACGGCTAACAAAATTTAAAAAAAGGCATAGTATAACCATAATATAAACAATTTCTCTTTAAAGATTAAGAAAAATGTAAGGAGATAATTTCGAATTTATTTTATTGCCAGGATATCTAATGTATTTTTCCAATATCAATATGAAAGTATAACGTTTAATAACATTTTCCTTGGTGCTCAAGCACTTTCAAAATTGTCAATTGTTTTAAGACAATCCTCGCAGTCACGTACGAACGGCATCGATATTATGAATTTCTAAGGAGAATTTAACAAGCGAGCCCTTCGTCAACCGTTGATAGCACGCTCGACGCAGAGTGTCTCGTAGCTAGGCGTATATTCTGTCGAGCGCAAAGTAATTAAATGCAGAGAGAGCGAGAGAGAGAGCAAGAGAGAGAGAGAGAGAGAGAGAGGGAGAGAGAAAGAGAAAAGAGGGGGAACCGAACCCGACAGAAGGGCTGGACAGGCTGGTGGGGTTGGAAAGGCAGGGAGGTAGGGAGGAAGGTAGCGAGGGCGTTCCTGAAGCCACTCCCCAGCCTCGAGTCCTCCGGAACTGGAACCTGCCTGCCTGGAAACCCGTAGTTATATACCTGAACAAAGTGCACCTTGGCATGCAGGTAGATGCCGCGGCGCGTTGCATGCGCGCTCGTTACAGTCTCCTGCCATCTCTCTCGCTCCTGACGTTCGCGCGAGTGTCCTCGACATTCTCCCACATGCAGTTCGTGTCGCATAACATTTCTCGCCGCTAACGTACTTACCTCCCTTTTTATTATGCGACAGAAAGCGCGCGGCAAGAATGCCAAAGAAACGATTAAAAAAAGGGAATGAGATGCAACCTCTGGTCTATTAATGCCATCCAACTGTTATATATGTATATGTGGTGTGACGTACATTTTCCATTTGCACGGTAATTTTGCTGATCTTACATTACGTCTGGTCTCTATTTCCAGGCGGATCAATTATTTAATTACATAAACATAAACCTTCGATTATTTTATGATTGCTACTTATGGAAAACGATAATGGTCAATTTAATTGCTCTACTATTTCCGATTATAAGCATCGTTATTAAGGGTCACATACAATTTTTACAATGTAATTAAACTCTTTATAATTTGGCATTTAACGCGTTTAAAATTCTATGTCTTCAATTATATGTTTTTTTTCATGATGGATGGCGATGAGATATTTCACGGTATATGGTGTATTTCCAAAGGAATGGCCAGGCGAAGTGCATTCGGTCGGCGTGTTTATGCTAATTAGTCGCGCAAAGGTGCGGCCAGGTGCGGCAGGCTCGGACTATAGTGAATGTTCGGATTGGCTCTTACAAATTGCCGCATTAATTCGATACGCTTCCGACGTAAAGAGCCGCGAGCGCCAGATGTATTTAGCTGTTCTTGCCGGCACACGGACCAACATGAAACATGCACAGCATGTGCGCCGACTGACTTTTTAATTGGTATCCGAAAACGGGATTTCGATCATCTCTGATAGACGCGCAACAAGATAAAAATTGCGATCGATGCACAGGCGAATTAAAAGAACGCTGATTCCGATTATAAAATAGCTCGATCACACAATATCGCCTTTAATAGATCAAACCCTTTCTTTTTTACTAAAGTTTTACGTAAATACGAAAAAGATAACAGATAAAGAGCGCAAATAAGCTTACCAGTTTCAAGATCTACGGTGTAAGGCAGTCCTGCCCATGGATCATCTTCCTGCGGCTCGGACTCCTTGGCATCATCCTAAAAATAACGATAGATTCGATCGAACAAAAGATTTTTATCACAGATTTATCATATTTTTGCAATCATTATCTCTCAAAAGAGATAATGTTATGCGCAAAAGTATAGGGCGATATCTCACGAGGCGAAAAATGTTGTAATAACGTGACTCGTTGTCAAAAGTAAAGTTTATCCAGCATATTAATTATAATTGATCAATTAATAAACTGTAACGAGGGGCCAGTAAATTAGCTAGAAAATTAGATTGAAAGAGTAGCGCCGTGGTGTAATGAGCGCTGACCGTAATTAACGACGTTCTCGCATCTGAGAGGTGTCAAGGAGAGGGGCGAAGGACCCGGCTCTCGTGAAGCGAGACTCTCGAAGAGAGATGTGATCGGTGTACCCGGTGCTCGATCACAAAACGTAATTTTAACAAAGATGATTACGAATCCGTGGAGCTGACGAATTTGAGATGAAGCTCGCGCAACAATGGCCGAATTCAGTCGAGCGCCTATTCGAAACGGCCAAGGTCGAGCCTTATGGAGACGTCATAATCAAGCGACCGACCGACCCTACCGCCAACGTGAAAAAGGGCCCAAGGGCGGGCGTATGCCCCCGGGCCATAGGTCGCCCATAGCGCGGCGGTACATGCGAGCTGCAGTGAAATGAGTTTAATGAAAACAGTATTGTACTCGATCATTAATCATAGCGAGTCCCTGATAGCGGCCATCCACAACCACCGGCTCACTATCTCTCTCCCGCCCGCCAAAATCCGTCTCCCTTTCTCTCTCTTTCTTTTCTCGCCGCTCTCCCTTTGCCATCCTCTCTCTCTCGAATCTTTCATCCCTCTGCCTACGCTCCGGTCACTTTTTCATTCGACGATATGATGTATCGTTGTTGAGTGGTGCGTTGCACTGTGAGCTCTACAGAGTTATGAATACGAAATTCAATCTATCCTAGCGCCCTAAAATCGAACTCGCGCGAGACAAAAACGAACACTTCATCACTGTACTGTTAGAAATATCGTGAAATATCGTGAAAACTTTTTTTCCGGATTAATAACAGATGTTGCAGCTTATCGTACAAACGTAATGTTTTCCTTAATAGATGCCTTCTCTAGAATTTAAAGAATATCCTGTGTAATATTGAGTAAAACCTGAAAAATTCTCCGTGAGCTTTAAAAGTCCATGCATCTTAAAGGCGGTCCTAAAATATTTTTGAAGAGTCACGAACGCGTATAGCCATGTGCCTTATTTTGGGCCCACAACGTCATCTCTTTCGACTCTCGAAGGAAACGTCGGTCCCGCTCGACGACGCAACCCTCGATGCGACAATGGAGGTCCTGTCAGCGATACGGACTTGCATGGCTGGCATAGCTCTCAATTAACGTTTACGAACTGTTACGACTGTCTGCCCCGATCAACCGCCTTACAAGGACCAGCGCGCGGATAGAAAGCATAATTCAAATCAGCCTTGATCGCCGCGAGTAAATACGAATTGAATATGGTATATCGCGGTCGTTGAAGATATGGCGCGAGTCACGCTGCCATCGAATCGTATGTAACTCGCGACACATTTCACATTTTGTGACTTGTCGTTCTGAATTTATTTCGACTTGTAAGTAAAGTATCTTGAAGAATAGAAATTTTAATATTTAAAAATATTACCTTCGACAATAATTAAATATTTTAACAATTTTATAGAAGAAAATATACAATATCTTATTAGTTATTACTGTTATTAGTCATAAAAATGTAATAAAAAAGGAATTATATTCTAATAATGCCGCGGACAAAAAAGTCGCTTCGTAAGGAGTAAGATGAATAAGTTTCCAAAAAAACAGCTCCGGAAGTCAGATGTTAAAACGCGATAATCTAGATCATTGATATCACCGCACGAGCGCCATTTTGCTCCGAAATTCCAGCCGACGGAAACAATCGGGACAAAGAAGGAAGCCAAACCCACTTCGGCTGGCCGGGCGCGTTTTCAATTTCCAGGACCATCAATACGTCCCTCGGAATACCCCTCCCGGAGTGCTCCAATCTCTCTGGCTCGCGAGACCCCTCTCTCTTTATCCGCTGTCTCTCCTTCTCCCTTACATACAAGAAACGCCTCGTGGATCGACATCGTTCTCTCTTTCTCTCTCTCTCTCTCTCTCGTCCTTTTTGGCCCCGTCTCTCTTCCGCTCCGATAGGTCCGTCGATGGCGCCCCTTCGTACCGAGGGGGATGCTGCGTACATCTATCATTTTACCAGACCCCGCCGGCTTCACGGATACATCGCAGGAACAAATGAACGCTAGCCATTTTGATGGTTTTATGAATACACTCGGCGCGGATGGAGGACGGGGCGAGAGGATCTGTTGTTTTCGTCGAGATCCTCCTTCTACATCGGCATGGATCCGACCCTCTTCTCGTCGCGTTTCTCCCAGCGAGCCACCGTCTTCGGGCTCCTGGCACCGAGACGGAGTCGCCCCTAATGGAGCCCGTCGCCTAGGAGAACTCGCTTCATTTGAATCGCGTCGATGAATTAAAAATTCACGTCAGTCACGACAGCTCGAGAAAGCGATCTCCTACGATCGGAAATAAGGTGCCTTGCGGCGATTCATCTTGCGCGATATACGCATTCGCGTTGAAACAACTTAACGGAGCAAGCCGGTGCTGTAAGCGGAAATTGATCGGGCTTTGTATCGTGTTTGTTGCAGGCGTCTCTTCGCCCAATAATTACGAATCATCTCAGACTGATGAAAACGCGCAACGATACATGCGATCTAGCAATGTAGCGACGACGTATCGAGAGCATCTCCATCATACATACGTATAAAGCGAATGTCGATCAAGATATCAAGTTGAGTATTTATACAGGAACATCGATACGACCTTTTTCCGTTGTTGCTTTTCTAAATGCGATCGACGGATCTTTGTATTTTTAATTGATATCGATAATGTTTTTGCATGGACGATACCAGCCGAGAGACGTGTGTACGGAAAGTAAACAGACGTGTATACGCGAGGGGGAACAAACCGTGACCACGTCTGCTAAGCATGGAAAAATTTGTTGTCTTCGCGACGAATGCTTTCCATCCTGAATCGCTCGATCGAACTTCCTCTTTCCTACTTTCTAGATTGACGTCCCTCTAAACGCCTCCATAATTCATTCCCATTTCGCAGCGAGACGGAGTCGCTCTAATGGAGCCTGTCGCCGCGACGTGCACCGATCATTTAAATCTTGGCTCTGGATTAAAAATTTCTGCCAGTCACGGCGGCTTGAGATAATTGTACAACAGAAACATGCAACGTGCTTTACAGCAATTCACTTGCCTAGGAAGAAGCTTCTTCCTAGCGACATCAACGTCGTTCTCGAATAGCACGACATGTTGACAAATATTCTACGTGGCAGGATCATTTATAGTGTTTTCATTGCACTGTTCACCTTAAAGCTGGATAGTCGTAAATCTTTATGAAGCTATATGTCTCAATATACAATTTCAATTATTCATATCTAAAAAAAAGAGATTAAAGCAAGATATTATACCAGTAATGTTATATCGGTAAAATTGGACTCGCCAGAATTATATTAATTTTAAATTCTCAAGAAAGGAAGAATAATATGCAATTCAAGAAGATATGCATAGTGAAATTTTCTCATTATCACTTCTGACAGCGTCACGTCGATTTTGAGTCATTGCCTGCCTTTTTAGTTAAAACAATTCTGTGGCCAGACACTGGAACAATGCTTGTCAATAATCTGTCGCAATGCAAGACAGAGAGGGAGAAGACGAGAGACTGGACTCTTCTTTGTTCTCAGCTGTTCGCGGATCGCGTCTCGGATCAATGTGTCGGCTTTCGATCGGGATCGAAGGTCTTCCCCGTGTTATTGGGCTCTCGAGGCGGCGGCGAGCCCTCACAAAGATAGAACCCGCTGGAACAATGCGATCTTCGCGGAGGAAGAGGCCGATGGAGACGAAGCGGCGCATAGCGACGCCGGGAAAGAAATAAAGAAAGAAGAAGGAACGCCGAGACTACTGAAGGTCGTGAGAAGAAGAGAGAAGCGAAGAAGCGGATGAAGAGAGGACGAGACAGAGAGGGAGACGAAGAACGTCGAGAAGTCTGATGGGCTACCCGCCCAGAACGTCGATGCAGCGTCATTGTCGGTGACCATCGTATGGATGAGATCTCGTAGGCTCGAATCTGCCGGATACTTAAATGCGCCTCGTGTCCATCCACCGAAACACGCCGAGCGAAGAAAAATCATCAGTATCGAAAAACTTACTTGCACGAGGAGAATCAACTGGGATCCAATCAGCTAAAGAGCCTGCATTTTTCATATATAGCTTTAGATTACATTCACGGTTAGAAAATTAAAATAAATTGATTTAAAGATGATAGTCGAGTTCCAGAATTAAAAGACTTGCTTTTACATTGCTAATGAAAGAAGCTATTAAAGAATAAATTGTATAATCCCTATCATTGTATGTAGATATCGAAACAATATTCTGTTCTTCTTATTTTCAATTGCATATTATTCTAATTGTAAGTATTTTAATAGTAGAGATTTAATCAATTTTTCGGTGAAATAGAAGTAAGGGTCAATTCCATTACTATCATTTCTCGATAGTAACGGAAGCAGGTGTAACATTATTCATGATATCTGTCTCGTAATTTCTACTGAAAAAGAAAATATTTAAAATCTATGGAAGAAACTGCAGAATCTTTATATAAAGATAAACAACTGCTGCATGAAGATCTGCCTTCTCGTGGGACACGACTATAATACACCGTGAGACAAAGATATCTCGGATGTGCGTATAACTTGAGAGAGACAAGATCGATGATCGATACGAGCCAGACTTGGAATATCAGCCGAGATTATATCCGAGAAGACGCGTGGGATATGGTTCCTAATCTCTCTTTGGGCCTACCGAACATAGCCGCTACGTATTTGAGGCGGCTTAGTGTCTCCGATCGATCGAGATCGATCATCTACGACCGATTATGAGCGCAGAAACCACGCGCTAAAGAACCAGGATAAGAGAACAATACTATTTCTCGAAACAAAAAAAAATATTAAAGTTCGCGAAAGATTCGGAGTATGTTGACGTTTCAGGACGGATGCGCATATCCCTTGAAAAAAACTTTGCGCGGTAACGCACGATGAAGAGATGACAAGGAGATAACCACCCCGAGCGCCGAATTCCACTGTTGATCGAGCTAGTAGTGTCATGTTTGTTTGATGCATCATCGTCTATTTTACGAATCGATATGAATCTATCTAGACACAGTATTTTGTTGATATTTGTATTCTCAGCGTATCGCGATTAGCTTAATATTCTTGTTAAAATGTCAAAATACATTTTTTTTAAATATAATAATATGATTTATAATGATACTGAAGAAAGAAAACGAAAAATAATAATCCTGAAATGTTTATCAACATGTGCATAAATGCCCGGAAGCCAAATCTGGAAGTCTTTTTCTTCTGAAGCGTCACGCAAGGAATGTCGCTTCCTATTCGCACAATCCAATTGGTCGGCGATTATCGAGAGGCAGAACGGAATACGTGCGACGTCGCGAGGCATTCTTTAACGTACAGGTGCACGTCCGGAGCTTTCTATCTGCGATAATCGTCCGGAGGACACAGGAAGACATCAATGGGCCCGTTGGCATATGGAGAAACGAACGTTTAAATTGAGTCCGAGGAAGCAAACGCTTCCTTCTAACATGCGTGAAAGCAGAAAGCGGCGCATTCTCAAGAGACAATCGCTCGTTAGACGCTGTAATTGGGAATCCGAAACAACTCGAAATCGCACAATCGTGCGATTTCAAAAAAAATGAACAATGCAAAATTCGAATAGCGCAAGATACTAATCGAAAAGAAAGAAAGTAAAAAAAGCCTTTTCGTACCTTCTGATAGGTGGCATTAATAGCTTCTAAAGCTTTCAGCTTCTCGATTTCGTCCGCTGATTCTTTTTCCGATGTAGACGGCTTTTTGGTGGGCGTCGTGGCCGGCTCCACCAGCGTGAATCCCAGATCCACATCCTGCTTCCAGAGAACCTCAATTAGGTCCATATCCTGAAATCAAGAATGCACGTGATATTATTATATAAGATCAACATTATTCGTACTTATTAATTTTATTTGTTTTCCCTTTCTTAATTCGAAGCTCCAATAATTGATATAATGCAACAATAATTTACATTCACGCTGATTTAATTTAACGCATAATCCTTTAAAACAAAATGTTCCTACTGTAACACACTTTCCTCTTTTCATTATCTTACACGAATATATGCGGGTTTCATTTTAAATGCAAATCGAATAGATGCGAGTTATACGGGTGGAAGTTTTGTCTCGTTTTGATATACTTAACTCTTTGATACTCATCTTATCTTTTGCCCCAGAAATGATATTAAAGAACATTATACTTATAACTTTAATGTAACTTCACTGAGAAAAAAATGTTGTTAATTTGACTAAACTCGTTTAGTTGTAGTGATTTGTTTAATGCAAATATTAATATATTTAAATCAAATATACGTGAGTAATATTAAGAAATTCTGAATTTATTTCAATATAATATTTTTTGAATTAACAAATGTTAGCTTGACAGCCCGTGACCGCTGCATTTAGTTAAATTAAATAATATTTCTTTGAATCAACGATTTTTTTTTCTCAGTGTTGTAACATGTACTTTAACATAATATTTTTATTAAGTATATGTATACGAGGGAAACTTTTAACAGGTGTACATTTACTTTGAGAAAATGAAAAATCTATTGTATATGTATTGTATAGAATAGAGACTACACTGTAAAAAAATTTTGTAAAATTACAACTATTATAGTGGGTAATTTTGAGACCCACTAGTAGTTGTAATTATACAATATAATGGTTGTAATTTTACAACATTACAGTACGGAAGGAAAAAGTAATTTTGTATTACAATTACACAAATTAAAAATGTGTGGAAATTTACACCTATTATAGTGGGTCTCAAAATTACATGTAATTTTACACAATTTTTTTACAGTGTAGACATTGAAAACTTTTGCAGGAGGATCACGATAATTAATTTTAAAATTCATTTTATTAAGATGCATATCCGATATGTTATTTAATTTTACGATGCGCTCCTGATAGCGCTTACGATTAAAATAAAATTGTTGCGCAAAGTAATCATAATATCGCTACCATCCTTCTAAAAGTCGCACGATTAATGTTCCACAACGGAGTGCCCTGCGCGCTTTCGTTTATGTTTATTTTACATAAGTTAATAACATCTGGCCTCGATCGCCGTTCAGGCCCAGTCTCGATCTCCGAGATTCATTTTTGTTGCGTCTCGGATGTCCCTCGCAGGGAGTCCCATCGACGAGTGTGTACAAAAGTGCATGATTAATGATGGTCGAGTATCGATGCATCTCGAAATGGAGGAGATCGAAGAAAGGACCCGGGAGAAGGGACCAATCACATGACGGGGCACAATCCTCGGGGCAGCTGCCCCGTGGGTTTTAATCGAGCCAATTTCGCCGAGTTCGTACTTTGAGCCTTGTTAACCAATCTACGGATTTTCCTCGCCAATCTAAAACCCACTCCGAACTCGCGGCACATACATGAAACGATTAACATGTTCGGAAGGAGACCGATCTATGCGCCAGTTTATGTAAGTACCGTGGGAAAATCGTTATGGTCTTAAAAAATACATCAGATTACAATATTTTTAGCGATAGTGCGGGCGTTAGGACGTTTCCAAGTATTTCTTTTTGTAGGAAAAGTAATAAACCCTTTTCATATAATAAAAAGTAATTTTTTGCATAAAACACAAATGTTATAATATATAATTATAAAAGCCATATAATATGTACTAATAATGCAATATGTAATATTAATTTAAGTTTCTTATTTTTATTCCTGATGCTATAACATTAAGACAGTATCTATTATATATATATATCTAAAAATTTGAGTTGTATTTTAGTATATAAATCGCGATTTTGTTGAAAATATACTAGTGTATTGCCTTTCGCAGTCCTTGCTTACTCATCGTTCGCTGTTTCCCCATTTACCGATAAACCGACGCCGAAGCGTAACGTTTGCTCGAACCGCCATGTTTACGGATTAAGTGACTAGAGGGACATACGCGAGTTCTACGTCTTCGGCCGAACGGCAGGCTTTTTCCGCGGTACTTCCGCGTCAATTATTGTTCGCGAACGCGTGTTTAGGGCCCAGGCATTTCTATTGTATTCACCACTCGTTATACACGGTGCTTCATGGGCGTTCTCATACGTGGGTACCATACCGCGGATATGCCGATACTTGAAACTGTAGCAATAGCTTTCGCTTCGTCAGCGACATGCACGTGGGCTAAAACGGCTCGATTCTTGTCGAAGCATCGGCGAGACAGGAAACCAGGCTGCATTCATACGACAAGCACGTAAGTGCGACGTGTATGTCCAGGAGGAAGAAGCCGCGGCTCTCGTAACGCGACTCTTGTCAAAAACGTTACACGAGAAAGGACATGGAATGAGGCTCTTCGCGCAATGCCCTGAATAGACAATTGAATCAGGAAGCGATTAGATTTGATTATTTCGCGCTGGACAAGCGTAGCAACTCGATCGCGGCCTGTTTAGTGTCCCAGAATAGTCCCTTCATTATTCAACATCGTTTTTCCTATATTTCCTTTTACTGAGGCTTCCCTCGACGAAGGAATGATGTCTCGAGAGACCAAAAGGTATTTACAGCCAGAAGACCATAACGTTTTCGAGGGATCATTAAAAAAATACAATACATAATGTATTCTTTAGTGGTAGAAGTTTTCAACTCGTAAAACTGTTGTTTATGCATTTGCGAACGCCAAGCTAGAAGATAGCGACGTGATTTTCTCGATCGCGGAATATCACCCTTCCTTCAGTCCTCCATTACTGCGCTCTCTCGCGTTCTTAATTAATCAGCGACTACGTTTGTCGACGCGCCCCAGCCGGCCAAAGACAAAGGGACCGCGGCGCCATTAATCTCACGGTATCGTTATGGACGATCGCGAATTTGCGCGCAGGCCGCGGCCGAGGCGCCGCGCCGCTGCCGCGGAGGGATGTAACGGATACGATTCCGTGCGGCGCGCTCTCGCGCGGGTGTAGCTTTGTAAATTACTTCGCTGACCGTGTAATTCGATGCGGCGAGAATCGAGAAAGGGGAGATCGGCGGTCAGTGGGAGGCAGAGAAAGAGAGACACGGCGTGGGTGTGCGTATGACGTCGGCCATGTTGGAGAGACACAGCGGGATATCCGCCGCGCCCACAGCTGGGCTCCGCGGCGCGATGTCAAGAGTTACCTCTCGCTCGGCCCACGTTTTATACGCGCAGCGCCGCGCTACGATCCACGATGCACGCCATGCGGCGCAGCGCGATGCACACGCTCGTCCGCATACACAGGCCCCGATATATCGAATATCGACGCCCTCAATTTCTATTCGATTTACATCGGCGGGTTGGACCGGAGTCCCGAAAAAAGACTCGCGCCCGCGACCATCCGATCGAAACGATCTCCGACAACGGCCGGCTATTGTGGCCAGTCCCGTGCTTCTCTGCGGGCGAAAATTTATATTCAATTTATATTCGAAATGAAAGGAGCTGATGATATATGAAGCAATAGTTGTCACGTATCTTCGCCAGATTAAAAATTTCGTTATCTTATCGCACGAATCTATAAACACAGTTCGAAAATGTAAATCGCCGTGTCAGTAATTATGTAATTTCTAAGAATAGGATATACTACTTGATCGAAAATGGTTGATATCTTGAAATTCCAAAAGTATGAATGGTGCCGGTAATACGATTCGATCGGAGAAACCTGGTGAGACCGAGCCGCGCACAAAACAACGACGTGAAGGCAGAAGATATATCTGAAGATCAGTAATTACACGAGGTGGGCTCGTAATGGTCGACCACCGTTTTATCTAGCATCGCCCGTCCCTCCGATTCAATCGGATGTGTCGCGGATAGGTTTCTCGAAACCGCGATGGCGAAACCGCTTCGATACACCGAGCACCAAACGTATCTCCGCGAGTTATCTCGGAAAAAGCAATTGTTTTTGCGTCCGACTAGAACAGGTGCAATGCAACACGCTCCCGTTATTTCCGCGATTCTCACCGCAAAGACGAATCTTTGCTCGCCAGCTATCGCCGCGCGTATCGAGTTAATTATAGCCGGGTATCGCGATACGTTCGATTTTCTGTAACTGTAAACATAATTGCAGTCTGCGAAGTCCAAAAAGATCAAGTTCGACTTTTTGTTCGCAACTTCGGACGAATAATAAGTAGAGCTTAGCAGCGTTTCACGCTGATTGTATTACCTCAAAAGTCAATTGCAATTAAAACAAAATGAATTGTCAAAATAAAGATAATTAGGCACATCCGGGAATACAATCCGTTCTTTTGTGGTATTTGACTAATTATCGTACCGTGCAACGGTTAAGAATCGTAAAAAATATCGCCATTGAATTGACATAATGAGAGACACTATGGTCTATATCTGCGACTCTTGACAATGTTTTCTTCGTCAAGCAAAACCACTGTCGTCGAAACATGACAATGCAGCTTTCTAGTTTTCGTGCGAGTCGATGCACTTGTCCTAATTCACGGCATCTCTTCTAAAACGTTTAAAACCATTCAAGCGAATCATATTAACGATTTATTGTTTTTTTTTTATTTATCTTTCAATTGTGCAGTTTAGACAGCTTCTTCTACTTTTCAATTATTTCTAGCTATGTTTCTTGTCGCTAGATTATTACAATTGTCGACAAAGCATATGGCTTTTAATGATAATTATTTACTCAAAAGTTATAACTTCCACATAAAAGATCTCGATTCTTGAAAAAGATGATCTAGAATTATATTACTTGACTGTTCTGTACATATAAAAAGAATAATAACATTTTAGTGAATCGTTAATTTATAAAATAGCGCAAAACGACAATATTGTAAAAAATATAAGTAACTGCTTTACGAGCGTCTCGTAAGTGCACTGAGAGAAAAATCCAGATTTAAATGATCAGGACAATCAATTCGAAACGGATATTATC